CATGTTATTTTTCGTCTGGATGGTTCTGGGCGTGTTACGTGGCGAGCTGTGTGTTAATTTAGTAGTTGTTTAACTTATCCTTCCAAGCAAGGACATAAGTGTCCTAGATATCACACGGAAAGAGCTTTTCAGCGAAGGACGTGCTGACTGGTGTTGGGAAAGTGTGAAGATAATCACGCTCGCGGGATCGCGGGAGAGCATTAATTTCGACAGAAATATCCGAGCTTTGATTTGCACAAGAACTTTCGATCACGCCTTGTCCACAAACGCAGAATTTGATTTGGAAGATGGCGGACACCGCTTCACCAACAGCCCCAGCGGCACGGAAGCCAGCCTACAAGCGAATTTTGCACAATTTGAGGCATATTTCGGGCGACGAGAGCAAAGAATTGCTGCTTTATTTGGTCCTGACGATGTCGCTGTGGCTGGTCGGCCATTTTCACTTTAGTTTCGCTTGGATAATCATGATCCTGATGGTGTTTGTAAGCTGGGAGTTTCAAATGGATAAGAAGAAGAAACGAAGGGAACGTATGGAAAAAGCTCTCCAGACGTCATTTATCGACAAGATACAAAACTTGCCCTCGTGGGTCTATTTCCCCGAGAAAGAGCGCGCGGAATGGATCAACGGAATCATTGATCAAATGTGGCCATACGTGGGCGAAATGGTTTACAAAATCCTCAAGGAAAGCGTCGAACCCGAAATGCAGAAAAACATGCCTAAGGCATTGAATACGCTGTACTTCGAGACCATCGACCTCGGGAACAAGCCGCCATATGTCGCTAACGTGACATCTTATGACAGCAAAGACGAAAACAAGAAGTCTGAATTTATATTCGACATGGATTTGTGCTACAATGGCGACGCCACCATCAAGCTAGCGGTCAAGAAAGTCAAATTGGGCCTGTCGAACATTGAACTGCGAGGAATGCTGAGAGTTATTTTCAAACCCCTGGTTGCCGAATACAATCCTATCGGCGGGGTGACCGTGTTCTTCCTGAACAGGCCCAAGCTGAAATTCGACTTGACCAATTTATTGAATGTTCTGGATCTTCCCGGCCTCAAGAGCACTCTGCGCCGAATCACGGACGATGTGATTGCCTCGTTTGTGGTGCTTCCAAACCGCATTGCCATTCCGCTCGCCGCTGGAGTCGAGGCCAGCGATCTTCAATATCCAATCCCAGAAGGAGTTCTTCGCGTGAAAGTCGTGGAAGCGAGGAACCTGACCGCGAAGGACTTCGGCCTTGTGAAGAAAGGAAAATCAGATCCCTATGCCATTATTCGCATCGGTGCTCAAAGCTTCCGCACCAAAGTCATCAATAACAATCTAAACCCCGAGTGGGATGAGACCTTTGAGGCATTTGTTGACAACCAGGAGGGGCAAGAAGTGGAGGCAGTCATCTACGATGAGGACACCTCTTCAAAAGACAGCAAGATCGGTTCCCTGGACACTGACATTGCCTCCACAGTCGAGACAGGCTACAGAGATCTCTGGCTGCCACTTGAGGGTGTCAAACAAGGAAGGGTTCACTTCAATCTGAGTTGGTTCCCATTGAGTTCCTCTGCCTCTGACCTCAGGCCACCCCAAGAGAAGGGTCTTTCAGTGGCAGCGCTGTTTGTGAAGCCCATCTCAGCCCAAGCCTTGCCACTCACTTGTGGGCAGAAGGAAGCCCTGAGAAGCGTATATTGCGAGATCACTGTAGGCAAGACCACCCTTCAGACCTTCCAGTGCTATGGCGAGAAGACGGAGTGGAAACACGCTTTACGCTTCCTTGTGAATGACCCAGAGGGACAGGAGGCAGAAATCAAAGTAATTGAAGCCAAGGGCACCACCACCCTTGGTCAGATGTCGTTCAATATCCGCAGCCTGCTAAACAAGCAGGGTCTGGTCGCAGAGGAGGTGTTCCCCCTTGAGAAGTCTGGTGAAAAGAGTACCTTGACCTGCCGCTTCACTCTGAGGATGCTCAAAACACTGGATACTAAACTGAGTGAAACTGGAATGAGGTAACCTGCTGTAAGAACTGTTTTCTAGCTTGCAATTTCAATATAACAAAACAGGACTGGTAAAACAAAAATTAAATATTTTTGCAACTTAAAATTTAAGGTATTTTTGTTATAAAAAATTGGGGAAAAATTAAAGCAGACATTTACAGCTATTTACTGGTTGAAAACAGCTCCTGGCACTCCCAGAAACCAAAGATCAAGATTTCCATTCTCCTTAATGATTTCTGTAGAGTTCTTTCAATACTAGTTCTGAGAATTGAACTGCCCATCACTACAGCACTGTCAAGAAGTGTTGATGTTCTGTATTCTCTTCACTTGTGTATGTGGAATTATGTATTGATCAAGGCTGTCATTAAGGAACATAACCCGTAACACCTGTTGCGGCTGAGTATGCTTGATTTTCCCTTGATGCTACGGGTGAACTTCCCAGTTGTTGATTGAATTCACCCACAAAGTAACAAGTTTGCTTCGAGTGTGGAGAACAAGGCTACAGGTGACTTAAAACTTATTGACGGCCCTGTTGATTAACTACATAAGGAGAATTAAGATTTTCATATGTGCACCTCACAGGTTTCAATATGCATGATACAGCATTGCACTACAAGAAAATAATTGCATATTCAGTTGTGGTCCAATTCAAAGAAGATTCTCTAGAAAGTATGAATTCAGCTTCTTGTCTACATTTTTAATTCGTACCCCACAGGAAACGCATGCAGTTGATATTTGATGGTTTATAGCGAGTTTCAAACTTAAAAATGTTATGATTAATAAATACATTAACATCAAGATCATTCAGTTAATTTTTTGTGAGGTATGATGTGGCACTTTTTCCTTTCCCTTTTCACCTTAATTTAAATTATTATTTTCCTGGACAAATTCCCCTTCAGTTTTTTTGCTTGGGTGTTCTGTGGATACAAGGGTTAATTGGTTTTGGTGTTTCAGCTGAAAGTTGTAATGAAGCTCATAGTCCTAAACAGTTTTCACGTAATAGTCAATATATTGTAATCGCTATGTGATGAAATGCTCATTAAATTTCTGTTTGTGGTAGTTGTCTGTTTCACTTTTTGCTGGTGTTGGTTTCAAGTTGGGTGTGTACTTTTTCTGGCATTCTAATTAGCTTGAAGATGGCTTTGCCTCAATTTATTCCTCAAGAGATCACCAATAAGATTAACGGCTAACCCATCTCCCACTAACCTTCAACACACTTGTCACGCAAAATATTGCGTGACGAACCCTAGGCCATCTTTGTGAAAGGCTTATGTTTTACAAATCGATTTCTGCTCGAGAAAGTCGTAATGTTTTGTCAGTACACAATACAAAGGAAATGCGCGACGTGTTCATTTATATTTTTATCCTACTTGCGGTTATTTAATTAATAATAATAAGAGCTTTATTTACACTTGAACCTATATAATTGAACCTCCCATACAACCTCGTTTTACCAATCGAATGTCAGCCTGATACGCCAAAATGCAATTTTTCTTGTAGTGCAAATGCTACATCTCTTTACCCTTACGAAATCCAATGGTGTGTTTTGTGTTGTGTGACTGGAATTTAGTTCGCCTTCTATGCAGTTCAACGTGTGGTACTAATACGCGTGACTTGCGTTACAGTTTTCGCTGTTGTCGTTTGTTCGCGCGTGACTTCTGGTGTTAGTAGTGGTAATGATGATAATGATGAATATTTTTTTCCGAAAGTGCTGAAAAATACCGAGGTGTTCAAGATTACTCTTGTCACTTTCGTCAAAGTGCGCGCTGTATAATTGCGCTTTCGTTTGGATTCGTGATTAGTTCCTCTTTTCCCATGTTTTTCTCCTTTTCTTCTTTTCTCTCTCGAGGAAATCTACGCTCACTTTTCCTTGTAAATGGAGAGTCCAAGAGCATCTTACTTTACCATATAACGCTTATCTCACCTTGAAATAGAGCTTATAAGTTCCCCTGCTCACAATTGCCTAAGCTAACCTGTGTATAGCCGCCCACTCTTCACATATTTCATACTGTTATAATGGAGTTGCTAAGGTTTCATTTCCGCGAGAGGTTTCACTGCAGCCTGAGAACGTAAGCAGAGGCCCTTTTTCAGGTGCGGTAAATTCATCCTCTGGCGTATTAACCTTCCACGCAGTCTTCCTTTAGGTTCGTCACGCAACGTTTCTTCGTGACGAGTCCAGAACCTGTGCGAAGGAGACAACCGAAGGATAAAAGCGGCCGGATACCCCTAAGAATTGACCTGAAGAATTCCAACGTACATGCGTGTGTAGTCTTTCATTCGTTTTTATTCGTTGTTTCTTGGATTGAATTTTCGCGCAAAAGTACCAACGAATCACAATCATTTCACGGAAGTCTATAGTGCTGCGTCATCGGTATGGAATTTTTCGCGTTGAATACTAGTGGTCCTTTGCCGGGGGGGGGGGGGGGG